CTCCCCCCTGCATAGACATACCTAATCGTTCAGCCTGTCTACCCATCTATCCCTTTATCAATGTTTGCCATCACTGACAACACAGTACTATATGTACAAAAGGGTTCATCTTTGTTGTCTGTACCTCCCAGACATCTCTCTATATCTTCCTCTTCCTCTTCCTCAGTGCCACAGTGTTGACCACTCACATTTGGTACATTGCCCTTCTCTTCACCCAAATCAATCCTTGTCTCTACCTACCTAGCAGTGCTCCCTCTCCTCCCCTCCCACCCCTGGTAACCAACAATGAAAATTTCCTTCCATATATTATAAATCTTTCCTTGACTTTTTATAATAATGGACTAATAAAATATTTGTCTTTCTGTGATTGACTTATTTCACTCAGCGTAATGTCCTCCAAGTTCATCCACCTTATGCGGTGTTTTGCAGATTCTACAGTATTTTTTAGGGTTGCATATGTACACACATTTATCTATTTACATGTATATATGACACAGGACTGGGCAATGTTTTGTTCTGTTGTATATGGGTTGCTATGGACCAGAGCCAACTCGACAACACCTGACAACAACAATATGACACATACACATACCATCTATAAAATAATAAGTTTATATTCATTTCTCTAATTCCAGTCCAACTCTTCAGGATTCTTCCTTGCTTTTTACCATTTCATTTTTGTATAATCTTTTTTGCTTCAGTGAGAAGCCCTGGTTCCTAATAACTCATTTATTCACTTCTTTAATAGACAATAGTTTAAGAATTCCTACTCTATGAAAAATGAGCCTATTAAGTAGATAATAGCCTTACTAATAAATCTAATTGTTTTTTGTTAGAATGTATGCAGACAAATCTCTGTTCAAAACTTAATTGGTTTAGTTCTTTCTTAGAGTGGTTATAATCTATGAAATCAATGAGGTTGATTTGTTCCTGTTTATATATGCAATTTCATTTCTCCTTTTCCTGTTGAAGTTTATTTTTGAACATCTGAAACATGTTCCGGGAGTTGAAAGGTGTATTCCGAAGTATTACTTCCTTTGCTCTCTTCTATTCTATTTCCATTCATAGCTATAATTAACCCATTACATAGGTTTCTATTTTTTTTTTTCTGTGTTTCTTTTTATAAAATTAAGCAAAAGATAGCATACTATATACTCTTTACACTTTGTTTTTTTCACATGTCAAAATATCTTTCACATAATATCTATCGTAGTTCATTGAAAACTTCATAGTAGGAACCCATTATGTGGACTATTTAACCAGTTTTCTTTTAAGTACAAGGTGTTTGGCTTGCTATATTTTGCCATTACAAATTATGCTTCAATGAATAACTCTTGCTTATGTATCTGTTGGAAGCATATATATTAAAAGACCAACCTGTTGCTCTTGATTCAGTTGTGACTCAAGGAGACTGCATGTGTTTCAGAGTAGAACTGTGTGCAATAGGGTTTAAAATGGCTGTGATGTTTTTAAAATAGATCAGAAAGACTTTCTTCTGAGGTACTTCTGGTGGATTTGAACCACCAGCCTTTCAGTTAATAGACAAGTGCTTAACCATTTGCTCTACTCTGGGACTCTGTTGGAGGCACACTGTTGGCACAGTGGTTAAAGCACTCAGGTGCAAACCAAAAGGGCAGTAGTTTGAAGACACCAGCCACTCCACAGGAGAAAGATGTGGCAGTCTGCCTCCATAAAGATTGACAGCTTTGGAAACCCTACTAGACAGTTCTTTTGTGCCCTATAGGGTCTCTTTTGATCAGAATCAACTTGATGGCAGTGGATGGGGGCTCCATTGAAGGCATATAGTCAGTAAATCCTTATAAGTAAGATTGCTGGAGCAAAGGTAAATATTCAGGTTCCAGATACATATATATACATATATACATATATATATATATACATATACATATATATATATTTAGATACTGAGATTCCTCTCCCTAACTGTACCATTTTGTAATCCCACTATAAATATAGGAAAATACTTGTCTTCCTACAGCCAAAAGTATGGTCAAGCTTTTGAATTTTTTCTAATCTGATAGGTGAGAAATGGTATCTCAGTGTAGTTTAAATTAACATATCTCTTATGAAAAATTAATGACATAAGAATTATGGTAATTCTAGGTCCAGTTCAAGTTACTATTTCAGAATATTAGTTCATCCAAGCAAGATGCTTGCCATGTGTCAGGCCCTTTGTTAGGTACTGAGGAGGCAAAAAAACAAAGCAGGCATTGTGTTTTTGGAGGTTACAATTAATTGGAGGAGATTAAAAACACAGATAAAAATTTAAAACTGTCAAATGCTATGAAACTGACATAAAGTTGCTGAGTGATTAATAACAGAGACTTGATTTAGCCTTAATGATCAGGAAGATTTTAGGACAATTTTTTTTTTTTTTTTTAAAGCATTGCAGAGCTAACTGGGTTATTTTTGGATTCAGACTTGATGTTTCTTCATTAGAACCATTCACCAACTGAGCTAATAGGTGCATCTAAACAAACTATTAAGAACTCTGGTAGCGCATTGGTTATGTGCTAGGCTGCTAACTGAAAGGTTGGTGGTTCAAACCTACCCAGCAGTTCTGCAGGAGAAAGTCCTGGCAATCTACTTGGTATCCAGTCAAGAATGCCCCATGGCCTAGCGACTGGTACACCATCCGATCTGCAACCTATACAACTATGAGACCAGAAGAACTAGATGGTGCCCAGCTACCACTGCCATCCACTTGGAAGGGATGTAGGAGATCCTACATAAAGAGGGAGAACAATGTGGTACAAAACTCAAAATCGTTTGGAGGCAAAAAAAAAAAAAAAGAAGGTGGGGACCAGGTTTGCTGGTCCAGTGGAGCCTGGTGTAACCACTGAGACTATGGCCCCTAGTTGCCCTTCAGGTCTGGAATTGAACCCACAACTGTGGTTTCCAGCCAAACAAAGTACAGGCATGTGAGTTAAACATTTACCTCAAGTAGACACACGCCCTGGAGAGAACAATCATGGGAGAAGGAAGGGCTGCTTATGCACAGGGAGATAGCTCAGGGTGCAGAAGTGTATGAAGGGATGGACACTGGGAGGAGGTAACTATGGGGAAGAAGTGGGAGGGGAGCTGCTGCATTGTAAATTTTGGTCAATGACATGAGACAAAGTATATGTGAACTGCTGTATGAAAAGTGAATTTACTCTGTAAATCTTCACCCAAATCCTAAAAAAAAAATGCCCTTTTATACTGACTCAGAAACCCGATTGAGCAGTTCTGTTCTGTTACATGGGGTTGCTGTGTGTAGGAATCAACTCAACAGCACCTAGCAACAACAAACTATTATGAACAAATCGTCAGTCTATTAAGACTGGATAGAGGAAGTGCAATAAAGCGGTTTATTTTCTAGATTATTTGAGTTTAGGTAGAACTAATATTTCTTTGAAAACTATAGTTTTAATCTTATAAAATTTTGAGAGTGAATATAACATTTTACTATATGTACTACGGATATTCTTGTTCAGTTTTGAGATATTACATGTATAGACCCTTAAGTTTGGGCAATCCTACTTCCGTAGTGATACTGCCTCGGAAACCCAAGAAGGGGTCCCTATGAGTCGGGGCCAACTCGATGGCACATAACAACAACAACAGACCCTTATTTAAATCATTAAAAAAATCTTAGAAATGGTATTTTCTCAATTCATTGCTGTCAACAGTTCCTGAATATCCCTTTATGAGATGAATGTGCAATTGCTGTTACATGAAGTATAGATGAGGGGGTTAACACTAATGAAAATTCAAATTCTTTTAGAATTTAAACTACAACAGATACTGTGATTCTTGAGGTATAAATGAAAATGAAAGTTCAAGTTAAAAGACTTGGTAAGAAAGTGAAAAATAATTGTCAGTTTAACTGAACTGAAGTGCACAATAGTATGTTTATATGTGATATCTTTATCTCCTTCATGCTGTATAAGTAAAAGACATAATAAATTTACAGTAATCCCATAGAGAAGACTGAATCTTTAAGTATGACTTTTGGACATACAGAAATTTTCTCCCATGAGGACTACTGTTATGTTTTTCAGACTTGGTGCATATATGTGTGTATGTGTGTGTGTGTTTTATATACATATAAATATTTGAATATATATATATATGTATGTATATATTCAAATGTAATTTATTATAGTTAGGTTAGATATGGTTAAAAAAAGTCACCTGTAATCGTTTTTAATCGACTTCCAATTAAGGGTGGAATAGTGGTTAATGAATTTGGCTGCTAATCAGAAGATCAGTGGTTCAAACCCACCAGCTGCTCCACAGGAGAAAGATGAGGCAGTCTGCTTCCATAAAGATTTATAGCCTTGGAAACCCGATGGGGCAGTTCTACTCTGTCCTATAGGGTTTCTATGAGTTGAAATCGACTCTATGGCAGTAAGTTTTAGGTTTTGACATAGAGAAATTTGGACTATTGTTATATTTTTCAGAGTTGATTTGATAAATATTTCACATATACATATGTAAAGAAACTCACTCACGTTGAATTGATTCTAACTCATAGTTATCCCCCTTGGGTTTCCAATGCTATAAATCTGTAAGGAAGCAGACTGTCTCTTCTTTCTTTCATGGAGTAGCTGGTGGGTTCAAACTGCCAACCTTATGGTTAGCAGCCAAATCCCTTAACAACTATACCACCAGAGCTCCTAATATTTTATATACAAATGTAATAATTTATTACATTTGGGTTATATATGGTGAAAGAAATCTGTAATTATTTTAAATTGACTTTCAGTTATCATAGTGGTTAATACCGGTCAGTTCCTAAAGCAAGCAGGGAAAGAGTACATTTCTTTCTTTCTTTTCTTGTTTTTGTTGCATGGTTTTTTAGAGCAGAGAATCACAGGAAACAAACTGTGTAACTAGTGGATTAATATCTGTCCAGTGAGCTCAATTCAGCAGTCCTTGACGTTATTCTGAAAAGAAAATGAATCTAACAGGATTTATGCCTCATTTTTTCTCAGACACTGGCCAAAAGAAGACCCTAGACAAGAAAGATGGGAGAAGAATGTCTTTTCAGAAGCCTAAAGGGACTATTGAGTATACTGTAAGTTAGTTGATTTTGAAAAAGCTGATTTATCTTTGCAATATTCTTAAAGACATTCACTACTGTATATACCATAAATAAGTCAAGGATTATTAACTGTCTTATCTTAAAAATCTGTGCTTTATTTTCAGTAACTATCTTATTAATAATTAATTTCTTATATATTAGGCATTTTTGCCATAAAAAGAGATTTTTTTAAGTGTGGTACAAAGATAGTTAATCCAGCGAATTTGTTTATTGTAGATCATAATTTACTGGAAGTCATAATTTCTGTGCCACTATAATTTTCATTAAGTTAGGCTTTTGGGAAAATATTTACTTTTTAAAATATAATAATCTTCATTAAATCCCTGGGCATACTAATGATGATGAAAATGCATATAGAATAGTAAGAGATAAATTGATATTAATCTTCTAGAATATCCTTCTTACATTAGAGCATTTGCATTGATTTATAGCTGTTTCTTTAGCTCTGAAAATGGAACTTTTTTTCTGACTGCTGTGTTCTTGAAATGACCCTCAAATCTCCCTGCATTCAGCTTTTCACATTTCTGGTTACTATGGGAAACTGAAGTGAGAAATAGACTTTAGTGTATGATGTGGTGCTAATTTGATTGAATATAAATATTGTATATTTAGATAATGTTAGCATGTTATAAGGCAATTAAATTAACTGATCTTAAATTTGTGTTATGATTTTGGGATTGCCTAAATATGTTATTACAATATAACTGAATTAAGGAGAATATAGCAGTTTTTTGTATAAATTCAGGCCTTTCATTATGTTTTCATCATGAAAACATCCAACCTTGCTTTGAATCTTGGTTATTTTACATGAAACCCCAAAGATGAATAAATTGTCAAAATCTTGAATTATGGTTTATTTTCATATACTGTATATTTGTAGTTTGAGATGTTAAGTCTTTTTAAAAGGTTAGAAATAGATAATATAGGATAGAATTATATTTTCTTATCAAAAGGACTGCTTGAAAAATAAAATGCATATGCTTTTACTTTCTCTGCAGAATTGAGAAATTCATGAAATAACTTCAGAGTAAAATGTTAGTTAATATAATTTTGGTGTATTAGTGTTCATTAGATGTAAGATAGTATATATACATGTGTAACCATCTGATTGTGAAGAATTCACATGGTTTATTTGATTTTGAATTTAGGAGTTTGCCATTCTTTGCATCAATTCAGTAAAATAGTTCTACCTTTATTGGGATTAAATTTAAACTAAGAGTCAGTAAATTTGTTGTACTGTGATAGCTCACATGTTGCTCTGATGCTGGAAGCTTGCCACAGGTATTTAAAATATCAGCAGGTTCACTCATGGTGGGCAGGTTTCAGCAGAGCTTCTATACTGAAACAGGCTGGGAAGAAGGACCTGGTGATCTACTTCTAAAAAAAACTGGCTAGTGAAGACCGTATGAGTAGCAGCAGAACACTGTCTAATACAGTGCCAAAAGATGAGCCCCACAAGCTTAAAGTACTTAAAACACAACTATGCAAAAGTTGCATCCTCAAAGTAGAGTCAGTCTTAATGATGTGGATGGAGTAAAGCTTTGGGGGCCTTCCTTTCCTGATGTGGTATGATTCAAAATGAGAAGAAACAGTTGCAAACATCCATTGATAATCAGAACATAGAGTGTACGAAGTGTAAATCTGGGAAAATTGGTAGTCATAAAAATGAAATGCAATGAATAAAGATCGATATCCCTAAGTATTACTGAGATGAAATGGACTGGTGTTGGCCATTTTGAACCAGACATTCATATAGTCTACTATATCAGGAATGACAGTTGAACAGAAACAGTGTCACATTCATAACGAAAAAGAACATTTCAAGATCTATTCTGAATGCTGTCAGTGATAGGATAATATCCGTACGCTTGCAAGGAAGAATAGTAAATACAAAAATTACTCAAATTTATGCACCAATCACTAATGCCAAAGATGAAGAAATTGAAGATTTTTACTAACTTATGCAGTCTGAAATTGATCATACATGCAATCAAGAGGCATTGATAATTATTAGTCATTGGTATGTAAAAGTTGGAAACAAGAAGAATTGGTAGTTGGAAAATAATGGCTTAGGTAATAGAAATGATGACAGAGATTGCATGATACAGTTTTGCAAGATCAACAACTTGCACATTGCAAACACTTTTTGAACAATATAAACAGTGACTATACCCTTGGACCTGTTGTTGTTGTTGTTGTTATGTGCTGTCGAGTCGCACCCGACTCATAGCGACCCCTCCTTGGGTTTCCAAGGCAGTATCACTACGGAAGTAGATTGCCCCATCTTGGACCTAGCAAGATGGAATACAGAGAAATCAAATTGACTACATCTGTGAAAAAGACAATGGAGAAGATCAATATCATCATCAAAACAAGGCCACAGGCTGACTGCAGTACAGACTATCAATTGCTGATATGAAAGTTTAAATTGAAGCTGAAGAAAATTAAAACTAGTCTACAAGAGACAAAATAGGACCTTGAGTATATCCCATTTGAATTTAGAGACCATCTCAAGAATAGATTTGATACATTGGACAACAGTGACTGACCACTAAAGGTGTTATCAGATAACATCAAGGATATCATACATGAAGACAGCAGAAGATCATTAAAAAGACAGGAAAGAAGGAAGACCAAAATGGAAGTCAGAAGAAACTCTGAAACTTGTTCTTAAAGAGGAAGTAGCTAAAGCGAATAGAAGAAATGATAACATAGAAGAGCTGAACAGAAGACTTTAAAGAGCAGCCTGAGAGCACGAAGTAAAGTAGAAATGTGCAAAGACCTGTAGTTTGAAAATCAGAAGGGAAGAACATGCTTGGTATTTCTCAAGCTGAAAGAATTGAAGAAGAAGAAAAAAAAAATCAAGCCTCGAGTTGCAATGCTGAAGGGATTTATGGGCAAAATATTGAACAAGACAGGAAGCATCAAAAGAAGACAGAAGGAATACAGGAGTCACTGTACCAAAAGTAATTGGTCGATGTTCAGTCATTTCAGGAGTTGGCAGATGATCAAGAACCGAAGGTAATGAAGAAGTCCAAGGTGCACTGAAGGCATTGGCAAATAAACAAGGCTCCAGGAATTGATGGAACACCAGTTGAGATGTTTATATGAATGGATACAACTCAGGAAGCACTCATTTGTCTATGCCAAGAAATTTGGAAGACAGATAGTTACCTGACCAATCACAGGAAGAGGTCCATTTGTGTATGTGTATGTGTGTGCCCGATCCAAAGAAAGGTGATCGAACAGAATGTAGAAGTCATTGAGCAATATCATTAATATCACATACAAGTAAAATTTAAAAATTAATTTAAAAATGGTTACAGCAGTACATTGAAGGGGAACTGCCAGAAATTCATGCTGGATTTAGAAGAGGACATGGAACAAGGGATATTATTGGTGATGTCAAGTGGATCTTGGCCAAAAGCAGGAAATTGAAGATTTTTACACTTATGCAGTCTGAAATTGATGAAACATGCAATCAAGATGTGTTGATTATTACTGGTGATTGGAATCCAAAAGTTGGAAAATATGGCTTTGGTGATAGAAATGACACTGGAGATCGTGTGATAGAGTTTTGCAAATACCTTTTTCAGCAACATAAATGGCTTCTCTACACAGGGACTTCACCAGATGTAACACACAGGAATCAGATAGACTATATCTATGGAAAGAGATGTTGGAGAAGCTCAATATCTTTAGTCTAAACAAGGCCAGGAGCTGAATGTGGAACAGACCATCAGCTGCTCATATGCAAGTTCAAGTTGAAGCTGAAAACAATTAAAACAAGTCCTTGAGAACCAAAATACGACCTTGATTACATACACCTGGATTTAGAGACTGCCAAAGGGTCAGGGAGGCCACATCTCCTGACCTCCTCTAACCCCACAAGAGGAAGACAGAATCACCATCAATAGCCCAAGGCCTATTCCTGTGAGGCCAAATGTGCTGCCTCCCTCCAGCCCTTTCATCAACGCAGACACCAACCATTCCTCCCGCAGCACCCACCACCTTTCTGCTCAGGGTTCGATAATTTGCTGCAGTGGCCACACAGAACTCACAGATTATGGGGTTTATTAGGGAAGCACCAGGCTACAATTCAAGTCCAGGAACAATACTCAGTCTCTCTTGGTCTGTCATCTCTCAGCCAACAGTCTCTCTCAGTCTCTGTCTCAGCAGTGTGTGTCTCTTGGTGTCTCTCTCTTAGCAATGCATGTCTCTCGGTGGCTCTTTCTTATAGCAGCACATGTCTCTTGGTGTGTCTTCCTCAGTAGTATGTGTTTCTCAGGAGTGCGTGGCTCTCAGAAGCACGTCTTTCTCAGCCAGCAGTAAGAGAGAGTTCTGCCTCTAGAAGGCCTTCTTTTGAACCTGGCAGAGAGGCCAAACTAGCCAACCATAACATCAGAATTCTAAGCATCTGAGAGACAGTGAACCTCCCAGAACATTGCTTTGTGCCATCCAACAGAAATACCCGAGGTGGATAACTTTTACAGTCAGAAGCTCCTCACTTGCTGACAGCAAATTCCACCACAGAGTTTGCAAACACTTATGGCTAGAAAAGCCATACCAGGTAATTTACTACATTACAGAGACCTTCTAAAGGATAGATTCGATTAATTGAACACCAGTAACCGCAAAATAGAGGAATGGTGGGATGACATCAAGAATATCAACGATGAAGAAGCAAAAGGTCATTAAGGAAACAAGAAAGGAAGAAAAAAACAAAATGGATGTCAGAAGAGACTCTGAAACTAGTCCTTGAGCAGAGAGTAGCTAAAGCAAAGGGAAGAAATGACAAGTTAAAAAAGGTGAACAAAAGATTTCAAAGAGCAGCTTGAGAAGACAAAAGCAATTATTATAATGAAATGTGCAGAGACGTGGAGTTAGAAAACCAAAAGGGAAGAACATGCTCAGCATTTCTCAAGCTGAAAGAAATTAAGAAAAAATTCAAGCCTCAAGTTGCAATATTGGAAGATTCTATGGGTAAAGTATTAAATGATGCAGGAAACATCAAAGGAAGATGGAAGGAATACACAGAGTCACTGTACCAAAAAGAATTGGTCAGTGTTCATCTATTTTAGGAGGTGGCATATGATCAAGAATCAATGGTACTGAAGGAAGAAGTTGCTGCACTGAAGGAATTGGTGAAAGACAAGGCTCCAGGAATTGACGGAATACCAATTGATATGTTTCAACAGATGCCACGCTAGAGGCACTTATTTGTCGATGCCTAGAATTTTGGAAGAGAGCTACCTAGCCAATTGACTGGAAGAAGTCAATATTTGTACCCATTTCAAAGAAAGGTGATCCAACAGTATGTGGAAATTATCAAACAATATCATGAACATCCCATGCAAGTAAAATCTTGGTGAAGATTACTCAAAAAACAGTTGCAGCAATATATTGACAGGGATCTTCCAGAAATGCAAGCTGGATTCAGAAGAGGATGTGGGACAAGAAATATCATTGCTGATGTCAGATGGATCTTGGCTGAAAGTAAAGGATACCAGAAAGATGTTTACTTGTGTTTTATTGACTATGCAAAACATTAAATTGTGTAGATTATAACAGTCTGTATCATAATGGTTGAGACCATTTGGTAATAAAACAAATAGCTTGACATTTATCTCCAAAGATAAAAATACCATTTATTAGTCAAATAAAAGACAGATCCTTAGAATATTAATGATCATTAAATCTGTTTAGTTTTTGTGGTCTTACAGATTTAAAGAATATATTTTTTTCTTTGAAACAGGTTGAATCAAGAGATTCTTTGAACAGTATAGCCCTGAAATTTGATACAACACCCAACGAACTTGTTCAGTTAAATAAGTTATTCTCTCGAGCAGTTGTTACCGGACAGGTAGTATCTTATTTTTTAATGCATTAATATTTAGAAATTTTAAGTAGCAAGACAAAGTATCTGTTGCAGTGTAGTTAATAATATAAAATACTAGAGAAGAATAATTTTATGCATGCTTTGAACAAATGATTGGCTGTATAAGAGAAAACTTTATATCCAGATGTATTTTTTTTTAATACATACTGAAAATAATTTTGAATTGTGGGGCAATCTGTTCCCGTAAAGATTTACAACCTCGGAAATCCATTCAGGGTCACTGTGAGTTGAAATTGGCAGTGAGTTTGGTTTTGGTTTTAGTCACACTATAACCTTTATACTATTTCCTTTTTTATTATTATAAACATTTGCTGTTGCAAGCACTTTTATACATATCTATTTCTCTATATGTGCAGACATTTCTGTAGAGTGAACTTCTAGAAGTACAATTGCTGAGTCAAAGGATATGTGCATTTTTAATTTTCATAGCTATGCCAGATTGTCCTTTAAGAGGAACACCAATAGTATTTGAGAATTACTGTTTTCCCACCCTGTCTCCAACAGTATGTATTATCAAACTTGTCTAAATTGATTTAAAGATTTTTTTTATTTTGCTCTTTTAGACTTATGATAATAATTGTTGTTTTAGTTTCAAAGTTACTTTTTTGTATTTATTGCTTAAAGTCAAGAGTTAATGGTACTTGTTTATAGAATGCCATCTGATTATTAATGTTTTGGCTTTGCTGAATCCTTTTGTGAATGTTTCCTTACAGGTTTTATATGTTCCTGATCCCGAATATGTCTCCAGTGTTGAGAGCTCTCCATCGCTAAGCCCCATAAGTCCTCTGTCACCAACATCATCAGAGGCTGAATTTGATAAGACCACTGTAAGTGTCCTTGTCTTTTGAAAGATGGCTAAAAGAAATTTCACTGTATATATGCTAATCTTTATTTTTTT